CAGTTTTAGTAATTGTATAAATTAAATCCCAAAGTTCAGCTCTGAATAAGTGCATGATGGTAATGTTGGCCTTTGGTACGTTAATATTTCAGGCTAAGAAAGCTGCATAGCTGTGATTTTTAAAAATTCTTTTAACAGTGCATTCACTTCTGCCTTTGGTCTAAATGAGCCCTTTTAATGTTCAGGGAGCCAAAATCCAGTCACACAGAAAAATACCCCAGGGAAGGAAAGGTGTGAACTTTCTTTATTGGCTCATCATTGAATAGCCCTATATGCAGTGACGTGCGGTGAAGCTTCTGGCTGATGAGGCAAAAAGAAAGAAAGCGGCTCCCCCCCCCCCGCAGCAGGCTGGAGCGAGAGCCATGGAGGGGTGGGGGTGGGGTGTTTGCATCCCTGGTTCCGTCTCCCAGCAGCCCCAGGAGGAAACGGCGAAGAGGTTTGGGGGGGTGTTCCAAGAGGCCCCCTCCCCTTTTGGCACTCTGCAAGGCCTGCCGGACCTCTGGGAGAAAGCGGCGGGAGCGGAATGCTGTCCTCTATTGCCAGAAAGTCCGGGGAGGGAAGCGAGGCTTGTGGAGACTTGCTCACAGCCGGCTTCTCTGGAGCGGAGGGGGGGGGGGCGATAGAAGCGGAGCAGATCCTCTTGCCACTGCGGGCCAAAGCTAGCCAGGCCCGCAGCGGCAAGAGGATCCGCACCACTTCTATGCCCCCCCTCCGCTCCAGAGAAGCCGGCTGCGAGGGAGTCTCCACGAGCCCCACTTCCATCCCCGGACTTTCCCGGACAGCATTCTGCTCCCGCTGTTTTCTCCCAGAGCTCCGGCAGGCCTTGCAGAGTGCCAAAAGGGGAGGGGGCCTCTTGGAACACCCCCACCCCTCTTCGCCGTGCCTCACCAGCCAGAAGCTTCACCGCACGTCACTGAGTGGAGGTGAAATCATGAGAATGTGTCTCTCAAAAAGGGTAAGTCAGGCATCTTTTGCTGAAGCACATGGGGCATGCGCATGAGTCCTGGGTGGGAAAGGGATATTTCTAACGCCAAGTGGGGTATTCAAAACGAGGTCCTTTTCATTGAACAACTACAGTTTTGTTGTTAATTGCTAGTTGTGTCCAACTCTTTGAGCCCCGAAGAACAATGGTGGGATTCAAACAATTTTACTACCAGTTCTGTGGGTGTGGCTTGATGGGCGTGGCAGGGGAAGGTTACTGTCAAAAAACCCATTTCTTCCCGATCCACTGGGACTCAGGAGTCAGAGAATAAATGGGGGTGGGGCCGGTCAGAGGTGGTATTTACCAGTCTGAACTACTCAAAATTTCCGCTACCGGTTCTCCAGAACCTGTCAGAACCTGCTGAATCCCAGGTCTGCCCAAGAACCATAACACTCCAGGAGTCCCTGTCCTCCACCCTCTCCCAAAATTACAACTACAATTAGTAGCATTTCATTACAAATTGACCCTCATTATCTCATTACTTCAAGAGTCAAGAAAGGGGGGGGGGGTTCAAAATAATTTGCAGTCCATTTTTCTAGATTAAGACATTATCTCACATCGGACAGGTCATTGTGGTTTTTTTTGCCTGCACACCTCAGATCACCTTCTGAGCACCAGGAGGCCTATCCCAGTGGGGTGAAACAGAGGCATNGTTTCAGTTGGCCTTGTGGCTAATCCGGAAGTCACTGGCAAAGGAGGTTTTTCCAGGTCCCCAGAGACTTTGCGAACATCTCTGGGACCACTGGGTCTCCCCCTACCTTTCACTGTCTCTTCGGGACAGCTTGGGTCCAAAAAGGGACCGTCCAAATGCTTCGGAATAGAAGGAGTTTCAGGAGTAGCCTGAAAGTCCGTCTTCTCACTGCTAAGCCCCGCCTTCTTCCTCTGGAATCCAAGTTTTAAAGTCTTGATCACTGAATGTCATTTTTTCTATTGACACACCTTGATTAAAATTTCATCCAGAAGCTTTTCAGTTCTATAGAATAGAATAGAATAGAATAGAATAGAATAGAATAACTTTATTGTCACTTTGAATGTACACAATTAGCATACATTAATAATGAAATTTCATTGCATACAGCTCTTAAAGGGTCACCATCTCCAGTTTTACACTGCATAAACATGACAAGATAAATAAATAAATAAATGCAAAATTATGTATATACCAACATATATTATATGACACAGAGAAACAAGATTACAGCACAATCTAGTTATACATGTTTATGGCACTACCTTAACCAAACCCTTTTCTTTCTTTCTCTTCAGTGATACACTCCATAAGGCTCTGCAATATTGTCGTAATACACAGAAAGCAGGTGGATCCTGGTTAGGGTGAGTTGCTTCTCATTGCTACTCAGTGAATTTAGTTGCACTGTGCTGATAACATTTTGAAAAGTTTACTTTGACAAAAGAAAGGCATCTTTAGTTTGTATTCATCCAGTGCTTTGCACAAATGACACAACCATTTAAAAACATCCTACGTTAAGACACAATGGGTAAAACATGTTCAATTATAGTGCTGTGCAACTTGAATCAAGTGGAGGGTTGCAACAGGGGATCAGGGCCCATTTTGGATGTAAACTTTGTAGGAGTCGGATTTAAAGCAGAAGTGGTATGCTGCCGGTTTGCACCAGTTTGGGTGAACCGGTAGTGGCGTCAGCGTGAGGCTCCGCCCACCCACCCTGACATTATCACAGACGTTTGTTCCTACTACCAAACTGATAGTGAAGATAATAGGATACCATTACTGGTTTAAAGCTATAAAAGCTTCCCAACTTCCCCCAAAGAGGGAGCTGCACCCATCACATTATCTGCACTTTGTTCAAAAAACATTGATCTTAGTACATTTCCGTACTTGATTGGTTCATGGATCTCTCTTCCTTGCAGGAGATGGGGTGTGTGTTTCATATATGGCACCTGGTTTGCGTTGGAAGCATTTGCATGTTTGGGATACACTTACCATAATGGGTAAGTAAGTTGCTTTTCTAGCAGAATATTAGGCTCAATGATTGACTGACAGCACCTCAATTTTTTACTTTGGAATGAGACAGGTGGACATAAATTTGTTGAAAACTCAATGTTAACTTCCTAAATTAATCTGGGTAGTTCATGGCCCATATTTCATATTTTTATAAGATTTAGAAAAATCTTATTCACTTTAATATAGATAACTATACCAGGCAGCAAATACAAAACAAATAAACCAACAAAAAAGGCATACAAATTAATTTTGATATGCTATACACAAATGGTATGGTGAGGAAGAAAAACTGTTTAAGAAACAGCACTTTTAACAGCATGTTATTCTATAATTCCGTTCTTTCATTTAGTTTCCAAGTTTGGAGAAGATATTGTGAAAGTTTGAAGGTATGAAACGGTGAGATAGGAAATAATCATGCAAAAGATAAAGCGATTTCTGAGTGTTACATATTTCTGATTTCCTGCCACTTTCTTTTCATTATACATAAAGAAAAATAAGTCATTTCACTAGTAGTTTCTCCTGCTGGTTTTCATCATAAATGTTGTGTTGCCTGAAATTCACTTTTAATGGAACCCAGTCCCATAATGGAACAGATCAAATCACAGAACCATAGGATTAAGAAGGGACCTTGGAGGTCTTCTAGTCCAACCACCTGCCCAAGGCAGTTATCAACTATATCATTTTTAAAAAGAACATTAGTATGTGTCATATTTTCCAGACTGGCATGCAACGAGGTGACCAAGGCCTGTGCCTGGCTGGTCTCCAAACAAATGAAAGATGGAGGTTGGGGAGAAGAATTTGAATCCTACAAGTTAAGCAAATATATTCAGCATACCATTTCCCAGATCCACCAGACTGCATGGGCTCTGTTGGGATTGATGGCTGCTAAGTAAGTGCAAAGACCAGTAATCCTTTTGGATGTTTTAATTTGCCAAGCAATTTCCAGAAGATACATGAAACTTAATTTTTCTCTTTTGTTGAAATGTTACTGGCATTTTAGTAACATCACATTAGAAATTCTGTATAATCTCTGGACTCCAATAGTGGAGGAAAGAGTTATAAATAACTACCCAAAGTTTTAGAGGATTGTTGGTTTCATCCTGATTGTCAGTTTTGGAAACCATTTTTTATTTTAGCTTCCTGACTGCCACATATTTTAGCCTGGATAATCGGGAAGGGTTTTTGTTGTTGTTGTTGTTGGAGCGGTGGAAACTTAGCCATAACAACATTCTTTACTCAATTGTCAAGGACAATTGCCTGCACCTGGATGGGAGTGTCTTGGGATAGTTTCCAGTTGTGTTTGAAGAATAGATTGGACCATGTGATGAACTTGTGGGTGTTGAGCAGGGTTGTGAACTTTCAACTGGGTGGGGAAAACTTGAATGCTTTCAGATTTGGGTTTTCCCAGATGTGCCAACATCACATCTCTAATAAATTGGAACTTTGAGGAACTTCAGACCTTGGAGTTTTATTTTGTTGAGGATGTTTATTGGAACCTTGACACTGATCTTTCTAACTTGTCATAGTAAAAAAAAAAACACAAATCGTTCTTGTTCTAGAAAACCAAATAGGACTTTCTGACTGAATGGCTGCTGTCAGAACGAATGACCATTGTTCCATTTGCTTTGCAGGTATCCCGATGTTCATGTTCTAGAAAGGGGGATCCAAGTTTTGATTGACAAGCAGCAAGCCATTGGGGACTGGCCTCAGGTCTGTGAATAGCTGTAGTTTTTATCCAATCAGGTAGAGCAGGGTGGCTCATATGGTTAAGACGCTGGGTTGGAGGTTAGCAAGCCTGTATTCAAGATCTGAGCGCTGTTGCACAGTGGGGTGGGTGCCCACCATTCACTCCAGCACCTCAACGCGGACATGAAAGGAGCCCCCACAAGTGTCCCCCAGGCAACTGTGATGTCACCAGCTATCTGGAGGGGCCTTAAAAAAGGGTGCCTCTGACAAGAATGGGACAGGACCCAATCAGGTCTTCCAAATGTACAAATGCAAATACTAAGAGACTGAGATAGTTAATATTCTTTTTGATGTTGTTGCTGCTGGAAAGATGCTCCCCCACTGTTGGTTTAATGCAACATCTGTAATGCATGAACATGATAGCAATATGATAGTGGGGGGGGGAACCTGCTAATTTTTGCTGTCCTCTCCCTTGCACTGGACTAGCCCTTTCCCCAAAAGCTTTCTTGGGAGATATCCATCTAAATGAAAACATGGAAACATTCACATTCTTAGCACAACATATAAGACCAAGACAAAGATTAGTATGATTTGGTAGGGAAGGTGTGTTCATGTGACCTTCAATCAGCAGCTTTCTTTCAACACAAAGGCAGCGACAATGATGAATTCATTCGCTTAGATCTGGTTTTGCTATACAGAATTTGGATATTTGCTCTGAGATGGCAAAACATTTTTGGTCAAGTACTTAGGAGTTTATATTTCAACCTCAAATGGGAAGTTATATAAGTATAATTATGAACCACTGTGGTATAGTATACAGATAGAGATGAAAAAATGGGAGAAGTTACAGTTATCTCTGCTGGGAAGAATAGCAGCAGTGAAAATGAATATTCTGTCTAAATTTTTATTTCTTTTTCAAACGTTACCAATACTTAAAAANCCTAAATTTTTATTTCTTTTTCAAACGTTACCAATACTTAAAAATGATGCAAATTTGTTAGAATGGCAGAAGGGTATTAATAAATTTGTATGGGTAGGTAAGAAGCTGAGAGTAAAACTTAAAATAATGCAGGATGTGCGTGAAAGAGGAGGCTTGAAACTACCCAATTTAAAACTATATTATGATGCAGTAATTCTATCTATAATTAGTGATTGGATCAACTTAACAGATGATAGAATACTTAATATTGAAGGGTATGATTTGGTATGTGGTTGGCATGCTTATTTGCTATATAGCAAAATATTTTTCAGAGGACTAAGTTACACATTACAGTTCTAAAACATGGTGAAGTAAATGTTGGCACTAGTATTACAAAAAAAAGAAGAGCTGTACTGATTAAGAAAGATTAATTTTCTTTTTCAACACCCTCCTGGTGTCTGTCTTCCTCTCTGCTGGCTGAGGAGATTATCTTGCCTAGTCTAATAACAAGACTGCCTTGACTCCAAAGAGTTAGAGAGCTGATGCATTCACCTTATTTATCAACTAAGTTCTGGGCAATGTATGAAAGAGGCTTGCTTTTTCTATGAGTAACTATCACATCCTGTTGTTTGGGATTTTATCTTTAACTAGCTGATAACCCAGTATATATATATTCGTAGATTTTCACGGGTGTAGGTATGCTGGTCTTGTTGTATAAGCATAAGGAGGCTTTCTAGGACATTTCTTTCTTGCCTTTTCTTAGGGTGACATTGCTATTGGATTCTACAAAGCTGGCACCCTCCATTATTCAGCCTACCGCAACATCTTCCCTATTTATGCATTGGCTCGTTTTACCCATCTTTATCCTGATAATCCTCTTGCTAGCCAACATCTGAAGAATGGACCAATAAATAATTTCAAGGAGGGCCAGACAAAGAAGCACTGAAGAAGATGTATCAACATTCCAGGAAAAGTCAGCTTTGCTGTTTACACCATCATAAGATGTTTATCTTAACAATTTTGCTGAAGTATCAACTAACTGGCTTTTTAAAAAAATACTGGATTAGTAGACTGAAATACTGTATTCACATTTTGCATTTCTATTATTTTTTTGTAAGCATCATTTTCTCATTGCCTTCATGTCAAGTAATAAGGAGAGAGGCAAGGGAGCCTGCCATTTTGTGCAAGCAGCAGTACAAAATACTTGTGTAGAAGTGAGTTTTGGCTGATGCCCAAACCAGTTAACCTAGCTGTCTCTGAAAATTTGCTCCTCCTGATTGCCACCCCACATGAGGAAGAAGATTGGGGGAGGTTTTCTGCTAGTGGTTTTGGGGATGGAGGAGACAAGAGAGTAAGAATGTTGAGTACTATATTCATATGTGTTCTTGATGTGGCATAAATAAGGATAACATAATTTTATAATATCCTGTTTGTATCAAAGTAGATACTGCCAATGACAAGAGTAAATTTCATGGTAATAGTTTCATGCCAGCTCAAAAACCATTAGGTAAAACATTGACTTGGCCATGAAAAATTGTCAGAAGATGCTGGCAGCTGGTAGAGAACAGGGAATTTGAGAGAATCAGAGAGGCAATTGAGAGACTATGAAAGCTGAAGTCTAAAACAAGTGACAGATATCAAATTTAGGGAAGCTGGACTCAAGATATATAAGGCATATACAGTATGTTCTTATATTGTAATACAATTTGGGTCCTACTCAATGTCTTCTGGAGATCTTCTAGAACCCAACATATATTTGCCATAATTCTATTTTGTACATAAGATAAAGATATATGAGATATAAGACATAAGATAAAATATAAATGCAGTAGTATAATAAGTAAAATTGACAAAGAATTAAGCAGGTGTGCATGCATGTACTACACATTCTCTTTGTCACAAACCCACACAAATAGTTAGCACTTCTTTGATTCCAACTGAAAATGGTTTTTTGAATTAAGTAGGACTTTTAGAAATTATACTGTATGAATTACTGTTGGATATTTAATTTAATTTGGGGAGACACACACACACAAACACACACAAAGATGAAGGTGATATGAAATACCTCAGGATCTGCTTTCGTGGTATGCCTGCATAGCTTATTCTTTATAAATTGCGCCGAATTGCATTACTGGGAGAGGTGTGGCATATAAATTTAATAATAATGATGAAGATAATAATAATAATAATAATAATAATAATAATAATAATAATAATAATAATAATAATAATAATAGTTTTTGTATTAGACAATTGATTCACGCATTATCTATGGGGAAGGGTGTTTTCCATATTTAAGAAGCTGTAGCTTGCATTTGAAAAATATTTCTTACGTGTGTTTATGCATATAATTAAACATTTAATGGAGATAGCTTAAAAGTGTAATGAGTGATAAATTTTTCATCTCAGATCAGACCAAGAGCGGGTGATTAAATACCAATTGTGCTGGCCATGGGATATTTTGCTCCAGAAATTTTTATATTCATAGTGGAGTTAATGCTGCAATTGTCATATTCTGATATTAGAATGAAGATCATGGAATATTTTTTTTGAGTTGACATACACATTAGTTTGCCATTTGAATAAAATCAAAATGTTTACCATCATTCTCTTCCAATAAATAATTTCTAATTTAAGGCATATGATAATGTAGTTTTATGTTCCCTCTTTCTGTCACGGTGAAACGCTCCAGCTACCTGGCCTTGATTTTGTTGGGGAAAGACTCATTGGTGAATTATGACATTTTAAAAAATAAATTACAAATGTTATAGAATATAAATGGAAGCAAAAGAAATATTCCATATACTAAAGATATAATCAGAACCCTTGCACATCAAATTCCTAAATTGTCAAACAAACACAGGTTTCTTTTTATATCTAAGAAGCCAATAACCTGGGCGTTGCCTGGGTATTTATTATTAGGGGGAAAATGTCTGGACCAAACGTAATTTCTAATGTTGGATTTTCCCCCTTANTTTTTGGGGGGGGGGGGGTAGAAGATGCATCTTATACTTCAAAAACTTTCTTTATGTTTTCCAGGTGACTGTATGGTAGATCACACCTATGTTGAATGTACCTCATCAGTAATGCAGGCACTGAAACATTTCCAGAAGAAATTCCCAGATCACTGGAGAGAGGAAATCAGGTAGCTGAAACAAGAAATTCCCTGAAGCTGAGAAAGAAATCAGTGTTGTAAATTGAAATAGACTTTACTTAGAGCTTAGTAATAATGTACTTATAAATCTGATCCACATTGCCTGTTAGGTGAATCTTGCAACCTTGTGCCTTTACATTTTGAATTGGCAAAATTCAGTATAAATTTTCTTAGGGTTCATTTTCATGTCTGCCTAACCACAACCCATAAGTATCCGTTATTAATTCTCAGTGGGAGGGGAGACAAATGAGGAATCCACCAGTCACTTGCTTTAACTCATCATTAATTAAAACAGTAAGGATAGCAACCTCTTACTACTGAGGCAAAAAGGGAAGAGGAATGAGGGCAAAACAGTGTGTGCCACTATACTTTTCTACCATTTCAAGGACTAGTAGGTTACACTTTAATACTGCCCAAGTGTGGCCCAAAAGCTAGCAATTAAGTGACATCTCCCCAAATATTTAAAACACAAATACCTTCCACATCAGAAAATGATTTAGAGATTGGATAGTTCACTAATGATTTAACATAGATAAAATACAGAAGTGAAATCCCATTACTGAAAAGATCAAAGTTGCAATTCTGTTACTTATTTTGGAGTCAGTTCAAGAGAAAGGAGGGAACTGTTAACTATAGTTTGACAATGCAAATTCCCTCTTTATAATATTTAATTAATTAATTTCTTTGCCATCCATCTCGCTGCAAGGTAACTCGCATAGACTATTCCTGGAACTCTGTCTAATTTCACAACCTTCCAATTACTTTATGTTTAGTTGTAATCTTCAAACGCCCACACATTTTGATACAACCTTCAGGTATGCTCATGCACTATTTCATCTAGATTTATTTCAGATAAATTTACAAGGCCATTTCTTTTGCTCTGTCCTCCCTCTGAGCAACCCATGATAAAGTTTCATAAAAAGTTTGATTTAGAGATTATGCTCCAAAAGAGGCTAAATATAATAGCATTTAAGACGTCAAAGTTCATACCACGTCCTCTGGAAGTTAATACTTTTAGTAGCTTACAAAGAGATGGACAGTATTCAAGTTATTTTGCCTTCCGGGGGGGGGGGGGGCAGCCGGGCCTGCTATAACACAAATCACCACTACACAAGTTCTGCCACTGTACAGGTAGTCCTCAACTTACCATCACAATTTAGTCCAACATTTCTGTTGCTAAGCAATTCAGTTATTAACTGAATTTTACCTAATTTTACAACCTTTCTTGCCACAGTTGTTAGGTGAATCACTGCAGTTGTTCAGTTAGTGACATGGTTGTTAAGTGAATCTGGCTTCCCCATTGTTGTTGCTTGTCAGAATATTGCAAAAGATGATCACATGACCCTAGGACACTGCAACCATCATAAATATGAGTCTGTTGCCAAGCATCTGGATTTTGATCACATGACCATGGGGGTACTGCAGTAGTTGTGTGAAAAATGGTCATTAGTCACTTTTTTCAGTGTCGTTGTAACTTCACTAAATTAATTGTTGCAAATTGAGGACTACCTATGCTTTTAAATAATTAACAAGTGAATCTTAAACCTGGTTTAGAGGCCAGTCCCTGGAATCCAAGTTTTTTTTTTAAAATTATTTTATTTTTTTGTTACATAAATAACACATACCCACAATGATGAAAAAAAAAGAACAAAAAACAAAACAGGAAAAAAACCATCATCACATATAGCATGTCGTTTGGTTACAAGTGTTTTAACATTTTTCATTCTTATACATTTATTATTTCATTTAATAGGTTATAATATACGGTTTGGGTTGCTTTGTTTACCATCCCTTCCTCCTGTTATAACACCACCTTATTTNGGGGAAAATGTCTGGACCAAACGTAATTTCTAATGTTGGATTTTCCCCCTTACCAGAGGGAGCCCCCTTGTGGAGTACTGTGAAGCCATTACCATAGCAATTTCACTGCGCTGCACAGTAGAAGCCATTTTAAGGCACAACAGGCTGTATATTAACAGAACACACACCCCAAGGGGTTTTAGGGGTGTCTCACCCCCTTGGTATTTGTTTCCAGAGAGTAAGTCATTCTGCGTACCAGATTTGGTTCAAGTTGCTGCAGGCATTCCAGAGTCATGCTGGAACATACACACACACAGCCATAGCACAAAATGTGTCTTCTCTACACAATGCTATACCTGTTCCCTCCTTGGGATAACAATAGCTTCCTCATTCAAACTAAGACAGCAAGATTCTTAAGTGGCTTGTAACACACATGAGAAGTTGTGGCCTTTCAAATGTTACTGAACTCTTAGCATCCCTAATGGACATACTGGCTGGTATGGCTACTGGGCAGTATAGTTCTATCTGCGAGGGCTGCGGATTCTCTATCCCTGTTCTACATCTTAACTCCTTTTCCACATTAACAACCTGTAATTTGCTAAACAATGGAAACTGCAATAGTATTCATTATTGTTAGAATAGCTTCAAGTAGATATCAAAGAAATAAATAAACAGGGTGGATCTGCATAGCACTTAGACTGAAGGACCACTAGGAAAAATAGGAACTGTAAGCTAGACTGGGAAGTTAAAAATACTCCTGGAAGAAGACAAGTCAATCACTTCTATCATGTGGTTAGGAAAACAACATGGATATTAAAAGTCAAGCTCAGTTTGAAGGAGCTTTAGTTACCTGGAGGCTTAAATGGGACTGCAGTATAAATCAGGAATCTTCAAATGTTTTTGTCTAAACATATGTTAAACAACCGTAGTGGCACAGAGCAGTATTGCAGGCTAATTCTGCTGACTATCAGCAGTTTGATCCTGTTCGGCTCAAGGTTGAATCAACCTTCCATCCTTCCAAGGTTGGTAAAATGGGGGACCCAAATAGTTGTGTGCAAATGCTGACTCTGTAAATCACTTAGAGAAGGTTATGAAGCGATATATGTCCTATGGCTAAAGAACCAATTTTCATATGCTAAGATCTGCAGTTCAAAACCGGTTCTAAGGTGGAGGCTGTGGTACAGTATCAGCACTATGTAAATACAGACTCCCCGGCTTAAACATTTCACTTATTTTTCATAAGTTCTTTGTTCCTTCCTCTCTTTTCTCTGACACCTTATCTGACTCTTGTAAGAATTTGATTAGGTTTAAAAACAAGTACACTAATTTTGCTCCAATGCGAATGAAGATAATACGCTCAAACATTCTATATGCGCAAGATTCAATGCACCCATATTTCTGAATGTATTTTTTTTTTAAAAAGACACAGAGAGAAAGAACAGACATTTTTGAAGATCACCATAACTCTGGTTTCTCCAAAGGTACATAAGGTTTTTGAGTCTGTAGAAAGCATTATAGCTCTCAAACATACAGTTTCTTTCTGCTTAATAAAGAGAGTTTAACTACTGGGGTAGTAGATAAATGAAGAAATACTTGAAGCAGCAGGTCAAAAAGAGAATGAACGTTCACTCAGTCTGGCTCGATTAAAATCACATTTCATGGTCTCAAAAAGCAGCTTCACCAGTTCTGTCTTCCCTCGAGCCAGCATAGCTTTGGAAAGTTCAAGCACCTCACTGGTGTGATGCCGACAGACCAGTCGAAGTTCCTGCTGCACTTGCTGGCTTGGATATTTCTCTTCCGCCTTCTTCACCCACAGCTCTACCTCCTTCATTAGCATCTCCACGTTAATCCTCTTCTGAGCAAACAGGGTAAGCAGCAGCTCCATTAAGTACCGGAAGCTCTCTCTGTGTGTGGAACCCACATCGTCCAGCTCTATGGCTTGCTTGAAGCACTCCATGGCTTCCAGAGTCTCGTTTTTAATCCAAAGACATTTCCCTTTCAGCACCTGGAGTTCAGGCAAGACATTTCCCAGGTCTAATTCCATGGCTTTAGTAAAGAGCACAAGGGCTTTATTGAGGGCATTTTCATCCACAAGGAAAAACTCCTGCATAGCATCTACTCCCAGGTAGTAATATACCTAGAAATTTTAAAAATGAGAGAAAAAAATCCCAAGGTCATACATGTTTAAAAAAGCATCATCTTTTTATCAAAAAAAATCAAGAAGTCTACAGGATGTGGAAAAACGCAATAATAAACTTCAATGCTTTAAGAACCCCCCCCCACCGCATCTGTGATGGATCATGAAATATTTCACAAGGAGGAGTATCTTGAATTGCAAAGTTTTAACAACTTTAGCATGAGACTCTGATCAGTCTGCAGATATGAAGAATCAGCATGCAGAAAGTCCTGGTATATTCCTTCTATTATGGGAAGGACTGTTACACCTTTTTTTTCTTGTTTCTTTGGTCAACATACAATGAATTTAATGATTAGGAAGCAAGGAAGTTCTGTTCTTCTATACTTTTAGAAGTTTGGGGTTTTTTTCTTTAAAAAAAATGTGCGTGTGTGTGTTAAATCTTAACAGAGATATTTTTGCTGGGATTTGGGCCTCAAAACTCATAGAAAATGTCAGATCTATTACTTAGCAATATGCCCCAACTTGTTGCTTGCACTATCTTGCACTGCTAGAAGGTATGTGAAAAGGATATATGGATGAAGTTGGTCATGCTTGCCTTGGACAGACTCTTTAATAGAGAATTTCCCTAAGATAATGCTACTACAGAAGAGGTTTAATAAGCCAATGCAGAAGCTACTTGGCAGAAAATGAAAAGAAGACCATGCTACAAGAATAGAAACAACAGAAAAAGTTGGCGACACTGAATCAAATCGGGGGGATGTTATCAAGAAAAGTTCTGGGATGGGGAACTTGTCAAAAACAAGAGATTGGACTTCCATTTGTCAGAAATGGTGTAGGGTTTCCTGCTTGGGCAGCAGGTTGGACTAGATAACCTACAAGGTCCCTTCCAACTCTGTTAATCTGTTAAAACCAGCAGACAGCCTGATCTCCCCAGGATGGTGGTTCTCCATAAAGTTGGCAAGAAAAAAGCAGCACTTCCTTGCTTCAATAAAGCTGAAATTTTCAGAATACATCAGCCCAAATCTGCCCAAAGTACAAGGATCATACAGATCTTGCTGCATCGCTGTTAAATAAAGATACTTGGGCTGTGTGGTTAAGCTGGTGAATGTGGTTAGATTATTTCTATGAGCTGGATTGTGTTCAAACTGGTTATATGCAGTTGTGGTTTTAATCCTGGAACTCCACTCAGAGTCACTTTTGGGAGATGGATACCCTTACTACTATTACTACTGTACCAGAGGTGGTATTCAGCAGTTTCTGGCCAGTTCTGGAGAACTGGTAGCGGAAATTTTTAGTAGTTCGGAGAACCGGTAAATACCACCTCTGATTGGCCCCCGCTCCCATCTATTCTCTGCTTCCCGAGTCCCAGCTGATTGGGAGGGAATGGGGATTTTGCACTAACCTTCCCCTGGAGTGAGGAGGGAATGGAGATTTTGCATTAACCTTCCCCTGCCACACTCACCAAGCCACACCCACCAAGCCATGCCACACCTACCAAGCAACGCCTACAGAACCGGTAGTAAAAAAAATTTGAATCCCACCACTGTACTGTACTACTGCTATTACAAAAAAAATAAAACACCTAAATTTTACGGTTCAGCAGCACATAGGAAACAAAAGAGACTTTAAGAATTTAGGGTAATTTCTCTCACTATCTCACTGTCCATCATTTTTGTAACACTATCTCTAAATTTTATGTTGTTCTGTGAGGGTTTTCCTAGAATAAATGAAGGTGAGGAACATCCCAGCTGTTTACCCCTCTACCAAAGTGGCTCCCCTAACACCTTCCTTAGGACTCTTTACAGTGTCATGTGTAAATATGTATCTAAACCAGAACTTAACTGGATTGCGTGTACAATATATGTATATGTGTATGTCTACATGAATGTATATCTATGGTGTATGTAGTAGAACTTTTAAAGCAACAAACCTATGCTTTAAATACAGTACATTTGGTCTCTGACTAGTGTGGTCTTTTTAATCTGATTTTTTTTCTACTAAAAAAAAGTATGTTGAATGCCTGTTATTTTCTGCTGGTTTTAAATATTGCAAGTTGCATTTTTAAAATTACAGTTATTCTGTTTTTCTCAGACTTAGAATATTTTGTGACTGGTGTGTGTGTGTGTGTGTGTGTGTGTGTGTGTGTGTGAGTGTGAAGAGCAGTCAAAGTGACAGGTATTTTTTAAAATGGGAGCAAATCGATTTTGAACAAATAAACAAGAACATTTTTAGCTCTATATTGTAGTTTGCTGAATAACAACATTTTATTATCTGGTTAGGCTTCTAATCTATCATCACCAGACTTCAAGGATAGCCTTTTAAAAGAGGTTCCAATATCATTGTTTTCTCCTTGTGCATCTCACCTTTCTTTCCATCAATCCTTCTGCCTCGTTTTCTCAGGAAAAACAAATAGAATAGCTACCCAAAGCCTTTGGTTTGCTACCCAAAGTAGTTTAGTATTCTTTGTCTGTAAGTTCCTGAAAATAGTGAACTCAGTGAAAATATATGGACAGCATAGATAATTTCACTTACTTGGCCAAGATCAACGTAGGTTTTCAGGCAGGGGTGGACTTTGATGACTTTTTCAAGATCAACTTTGGCCCCCAAAAGGTTGCTCTGGTCTGGCATTTCAGCCAAGCCCATCTTCACACGTTCCACATCCCGTAAATACAGTTTAATCAGCATCTAAAGATAAATGTATAGTGCTCAGTTGATTGCTAAAACCTTGGGGAGCTGCTGAAAGAGAGAAATTGACCTCATGTGGCTTTCTCTGCTTTTGAGCCTCCTAGAAGGGAGCAGAGGGGTACAATCGGTCTAAGGACAGTGCTCCTCCACCTTAAGATGTGTGGACTTTAACTCCCAGAATTCCCCAGTCCACATCTTAAATTTGCCAAAGTTGAGAAACACTGGCCTAAGGAAAAAGTTGCTAACTAACACATTCACTTAGAAAATAACAAGTGGCAAACTACCAAACAACTATACCAAGGCAGATGTCTATGGAGATTCAAGATTGTTTCTTGAAAAAAGCACCTTTGGGCATACCAAGGAAGGGAATTTGGGTTGAAAACCTAGGGCTTCTAGGCGAGGAGTTCTGAAACCTTCAGACTTTCAATGTATTTGGTCAAATTGTCTGCTACAGCTCCTTTTAATGTCAATGTAATATAATGTTGTGTATACAGTTAAATGTATATAGCAATAGCAAAAGCACTTAGACTTATATACCGCTTTACAGTGCTTTACAACCCTCTCTACGTGGTTTTACAGAGTCAATATATTGTCCCCAACAATTTGGGTTCTCATTTTACCACCTCAGAAGGATGGAAGGTTGAATTAACCTTGAGGCTGGTGGGATTTGAGCTGCCAAATTGCAGGCAGCCTGCAGGCAGCAGATGTAGGCCGCAGTACTGCACTCTAACCACTGCACCACTGAGGCTCTTTTACCTTTTTAAAAAAATATGTTCAATTGTGTCGAATTAGTTTGATGTCATAAAATATTTTTTAAAAAAGGCATTGGATCCTTTGGAAATGCTATCACTGGGTAGGACTGCACTAACAAAATAAGCACTAACTTTTAATCATCTATACAAAAATATTCCCAGGTGTTTTGCTATGTGACCAAGTGAGTTGTTTTAAGGGCAAGCTACCTACCTTAGCACGCATACAATATGCCTGCCAGTTAAGTCCTGGATCAGGGATTACATCCAGAGCCATGTTGCAAACTGCCATTGCCATCTCTAGCTTGCCAAGGAAATGGAAGATTTTTGACAGGCGGTTGAGAACAGGCGGATTATCTCTAGCAACCTCTATTGCCTTAAAAGCAAATACATTTTTCTCCATTAATCATCAGTTGTCATGAACAGGGAAAATTATTAATTATATTCACAATTTGGACACAGGTTAAAAGGTGGAGTTCTTTGGCCACTTGCGTTAGGTGGCAAGTGAGTCAAAGAAAGGTTTTCTCTACTATGTTAATATTTGTTGTTACTGTAAAAGCCTGGCTACTCATTTTGACTTAATGTCCAAGAAAGTTGTTGAATTCAGCAACCATTTTCACAATCACGCGCACCTGGATGCTGCATTTGATTACATATTCCATAAACATTAGCCAGGTGATTGGGCTGAGACGGTTTGTAGTCCAAGACATGTAAAGTTCCCCAGCTGTCTGCCAAGACATTTTTAATGCCACTTTGGACATGCCCTCATCTTTAATTCATGGGTGAAAAAAACTTGGTTAGTTCCCTATAAGGAACTGAAGATTTAGCAAAGCAACAGAATAGAAATAGGACTTAGACTTATATACTGCTTAATAGTGCTTTACAGCCCTTTCTAAGTAGTTTACAGATTAGATTGCCTCATTTTACTGACCTTGGATGGATGGAAGCCTGAGTCAACCTTGAGCTGGTGAGAATCAAACTGCTGGCAGTCAGCAGAATTAGCCTGCAATACCCCATTCTAACCACTGTGCCACCACAAAGAAAAGGCATATTCAATTATTTTAGACTTGGTTAATGTTTAAAGCTTTAGGAATATTTCTTATATCAGTGAGCTAGCATTACAGTAGAATATAAGCAAATGAGCAACATGCCTCCTCTTCCTCCTTTATAATTGTGAAGCTTGGAAGAAGCTTTTTGCTTCTCTTGCTTGCATACAAAGGAGACGATGAAACCAATAACATCATCCTTTCATTATGGTCCTGAAGTATTTTTTCTGGGTGCACCCTCCTTGTTCTAAATACTCCTTCCTATGTAAAAAAAAGGAATGGGGCGTAGCATGTGTTGTCCCCACATTTCTGTGTGGACTGAACTTCTCCCCACATCAATGCCCCAAACTTCCTATCTTAAAAATAAGGATTGAAGTATTGTCAACACCTCTTGAAGAAAACTGCATGAACAGGATTGTGATCAAGCAGAATTTCCTGTTTAGCATTCTGCAGATACTTATGCAAATGGCTGAGCTTGTACTATCCAATGCAGGCTGAGGTTGCTAGCATAGAGATGGATGTACCAAGCTCAGGTTAGCTTACCACACAACCACAATTCTTTGTACTTGCTGCTAACTAACCAATCAGCAAGCTCCCTTGCTATGCATTTCCCCTTCCCCTTGCAATGAAGTTTAGGTGTTTGTGTGCTCAATTTAGGATTGAGAAGGGAAGGATAAACCTCACTCACAGTGTTGGGAGAAGCAATTAACTGTGAATCCCACTTGTAAAATGGAAGAAAATGGCAAAGGAAGATATAGTGCTAGTTATGTATTATGCAGTAGGAAGAACATTAAACAAAGAAGCATCAAATATATTATGAGCCATGGTGGCACAGTGGTTAGAATGCAGTATTGCAGGCTAAGTTTGCTCACTGCCAGGCGTTTGATCCTGATAGGCTCAAAGTTGACTTAGCCTTCCATTTTTCCGAGATTGGTAAAAACCCAGATTGTTTGGGGCAATATGCTGACTCTGTAAATCACTTAGAGAGGGCTATAAAGCACTATGAAGCAGTATATAAGTCTAAGTACTATTGATATTGAAATATTGTCTTCTTTTTGTAATGATTAATTATATCAGCCTACCTTTCCAAAGCAATCCAGGGGATCAGTTCCAGTATAACCACAGTCATTAATGCCCAGGGGAGTAGTTGAGAAAGAATATTTCCTTTCTAGTAGCATCCCAAGATAGCACCAGGCTACAGCTAGAGAAAAAGTAAGATATACTTCAGACCAGATCATTCCATTCAAAAGTAAAGGTGAAGTTTTTGCCTTATTATTAATCTTAATTTTCTACTTATTAATTGGAGATAGGTCCAGGGATGATATAGGTATAGAAAGGGTTTTCCACATCAGAAAATTCTGATGCATTCTAGCTAAGCCAGCTTACTGCTGGTTAATACCTGGATGGAGAACCATCAAGGCAATATAGACCTGTAGGGTAGACTGTGAAATTTAAAAGATACCCTGGAGGATAACTCCAAACTACTTATGTAATTCTGCCAAGATAGTGACTTGATGGACAGAGATATGTGCATCAAGTCACCGAGAGTTGAGTTCACTCATGAGATTCGTGCATTAGAGCATTCCTCTTTTCTTCTCTGCTTCTGTACATCTAAAGCTGATGGAAAGTAGAGATCAGCTTACATTTATTGCAGCTCACATTATGTAAATAATTGCAATAAGTAAATGCCCACATACAGTACTTACATATTCATTGTTCTGTTTATATCGCTCTGCATTTAAAAAAAAGTCATTTGTATGCTTGCATATATTGTTCTAATCAATAGATGCCTGAAGTGTTTTTTTTTCCAAATGAAAAGACTCTGGGTATAGCAACAAAAATGTAGAAGAGTATAGAATGTTCTTTCAGATCCATGACATTATTGAGACTAAAGCATTTGAGTATACAGAAGTGAATGCAATCAACCTGGGGGTAACCCTTCTGATAATGTTTATGAAATAAGGACAAACTTCCTAATGGGGAGAACAATTAACTAATGGAACAGCTTGCCATCAGAGGTTGTGGGTGGTTCATCACTGGAAGTTTTTAAGAAAAGACTGGAGAGTCACATGTCCAAAATGATATAGGCCAGGGTCTCCTGCTTGACCAGGGAGTTGGATTAGAAGACCTCCAAGATTCCTTCCAGCTCTTTTCTAATTGATTGACTGATTGAAATTGAGCTGGTAAAAAATGGAATTGTGTACGTATATTTGTATGTGCATTTGAGCATTATAGAAAATGAGCCATATTGGTCCATGGCAACAACCAGTCTGTCTTCCCTCTCTTCTCCTTCTCTATCGCAATTAAAAAACCTACATCAATTGAGACACTCTATGGATATGATCAAGTGAGTTGCTGCATACAAGCTTATGCTTTGTCGAATTGTTAATCAGAAAAGATGCTACCAGATTTTTGGGTGTGTATATGTGTGTGGCAAGCAAATACATGCATTCTGGCAATGGTATCCCAATGTTCTGACCTGGCTTAATCCTTGCAGGCTAATGATCAATGAACCATTTCCCCTACCTCTGTAGTGTAGATTAGATGACTTTAGTACTTGTTGAAGCAAAACCAGAGTTCTGTTGAAAGCCTTCAGTCTCTTCTTCTCATCCTCCCCTTTGTTCATCCACACCCTATCTAGTCTGAAGCAAAAAGAGGAACTAATATCATTCATACATACAGATGTGTATATGCAGGATTTGCTGAACTGATTGGCAACATACTTAAAAAAAAATTCCTATAGCCGTGATGGCGAACCTATGGCACGCTTGCCAGAGATGACACACAGAGTCCTCTCTGTGGGCATGGGTACCATCGCTAGCTGCTCTTCTGGTTTTTGGTGCACACATGCACACCAGCTAGCTGGTCTTTGCAGGCACCGCAGCACCAGAAAATGGCCAAAAAATTGGCCATAAATGGCCTGAAAATAGCCCCCAAAACAGCCTGGAAAACGGTCCAGAAAACAACCCCCACAAATGGCCTCAAAATGGCCTGAAAACTGCCCCCCAAAGACCCAAAAAACAGGTATGTGCGCACTGGCCAACTGGTCTTTATGTTTCTGGCGCTCCAGCGTGCGTCTATGCATATGTGTTCCAGTTTGGACACTTGGTGCTGAAAAGGTTTACCATCACTGTCCTATAGAATTATTTTTAAAAAAATCAAATGTTGGAAATACTTCTTTGAATCCCGTTCTTCCCATCCCTTCTAATGGTCATACTTCTAAAGAGTGATATGGTCCAGAGGAAGCTTGTGATATCGTTGTGAATAAGCCACGTCTGTTATCTTTTGATTCATTCTTTTAATTTGATAATGGGAGATCTCCAAATTATTCCCAGAGAAGTAAGTAATCAGATATGGAAAGCTTTCAGACAACCAACTTGCCCCATTCAAATCATTATTTTCACCCCCTGGTTTAAGATCAGTATTGCTTATCCCTTGCAATGGAAGTCAGTTGTGTCTGACCTGGATATAGAGATTGACTGTTTATGTGCTGGGTTCAAATTACCCATAGCAATTTTCCAAGAAAAAGCACTGCCTTAATGTATTTGCTAACCTTCAAGAAGTCTCGGGGAATTTTATTGTTTCTACTAGTACATCTAGGGAATTACTTTCACAATGACTACAAAACACTGATTCAAACCATGCAACATATATTTTAGCTAATGTCAGATTTCATCCAGGTATTCATTATATGGACGGATACAACTGAGCCTAAAATTTCTGTTGCTGAGACATATTTTAAGTGGGGTTTGCCCCATTTTATAACCTTTTTAGCCACAGCAGTTAAGGGAATCACTGCACTTGCAGTTGTAAAGTGAATCTCGCTTCCCCATTGCCTTTGCTCGTCAGAAGGCTGCAAAACACGATTCCATGGGCACTGCAACCATCATAAATACATGCCAGTTGCCAGACATCCAAATGAATTTTTATCACATGACCATGGATAACACAACAGTTTTAAGTGTGAAAAATGGCCATAGGTAACTTTTTTTTAGTAACTCTGAACTGTCTCTAAAAGAATGGTGGCCAGTTAAGGACTACAACTGTCTGTGCTATAGCTTTCAATGGAACAAGAAGTTTCTGCCAGTTTGTCCCAAAATGTTCTCGTTCTGTTTTTAATTTTGATATCCTTTCTTTGTGGAGACAACTGATGGTGAATCTTTACTCTGGACTCCTTCCGTGCCTCACCTGATGTGCAGAGTGGCCATGGCAAAGTACCAGCTCCGTTTCTCCTCTAAAGGTATCTGAAATTGGGACAAAGGGAGGGAAGGGGAAAGTCAAAGGAGTCTGATTAGGCACTGGGGATCACTGAGTGATCACATTCCCCAGTACCAGTCATTTCATGAAATGAAAGATTGTAGTTGTTAACCATGTTCTTGCTGCAATCCACAAACCATATGACACAAAACTTAAAGTCCACCTCATTTGATGTAATAAATTCAAACCTAAAAATAAAGAGCAAAATCAGTTCATCAGCTCTATTAAATATTGAGTAGTAATTATTTGTCCTGTCCTGTAAAGAGGAGACTGACATTAAAAAGTATGAAAGTATATATTCAATGGAATTATAAGGGCAACATTTTTAAAAATGCAGGTAGAAATTAAATGCTACAATAAAAATCAAAACAAAATTAGAGACAGAGAAAAAGCAGAAACAAAAGCTGAACAGTTTATACCATATGCAAATTCAGATCATTTCTTGTGGCTGAATATTTTCATGCATCTATGGTATGTAGTTAACAAATTCAGTAAAATCAGTCAGATGGATTATCTTCATTGAGAAAACATCATTTTCCTACAAATTATGCCAGTTTATGCAAACGTGTCATCTTTAATAAATAAAGTAAGTAGTAATTGATTATAAATCATAGGGTTACTTCACTAACATTTTTTAAATATAGGTGATAGTTCAAAAGGACACAAATACAGGAAATAAAAAATTGATTTTCATATTGCAGAAATCTCAGGGTAAAAAACAATATTTTTACTGTATATGTCCACTTTAAAATACATTTATGAAGGTTATTTTGATGCCATTCTGTTTTCTCTGCCTAAGAACTTTGAATCCTGCACAATGGTATAAAATTAAACATAGACCATCCCTTTAGTGTAAATATTGTGCTATAACAAGTAATTACAGTTTAGCCACCTGTCTTGTGTTGTGGCCTTTAGTAGTTGGGAGTACAAATTGAGCATTAAAAAGAAAATAACTTTGTGACAGCCGTAAATCAAGAAAATAAGAGTAAGAAAAATAACAAACAGCAACTACCTATTCCTGGTCCTTGGGAAGGACTTGACAGGTATAGAAAAATTCCACATCGAATCTAAATATCTGGCTGACTGTGTAACCAACCACACAATAATAATATAACATGAAACCACAACATCTGCCTATGCCAGGTCCTTGGGAAGGGCTTGACAGGTGGATAAAAACACCACATCCAGTCTAAACATTTGGCTGGCTGTGTAATTAACCACAACAATGAAGATCCTAATTAGAAAATGGAAAGTTAATACTGTTTGGGATGGATCAGGGCTGTTCAGAAATGTCCTTGATATGCAACTTCAAATGTTTTAACCTATTAACCTAAATCTTTCCTGCCCTGATTATTTCTGGATATTTCTTATAGCCATAAGGAAAAGTGGTTATAAAATGCTTCAGCCAACCATGAAGCAATTAGTTATGGAATCCCAAGGCTTATGTACTTACTCTGTTTAACTCCTTCATGATCAAAATTGTGGTAGACTGTGAAGACCACGCTAAGCCATCAACTCTACTTTATAAGCCAGAAGCCTAGGTTCTCATAGTATGCTAAGCCATCAGAATAGCTCTATACCTTCCACAGAAAAACATAAAATTAAGACTCCGCAAATCCTTTTCACATTATTACCCACTGGTGCTGCCACTTCCTCATGCAGGACCAGGAGCTTGGTGATCACAACAGTTCTGGACAAAGTCCTAGCTCA